ACCCAGAGGAGATACACTTCGTGGACTATGGGAGGACTTAGAAGGAGCCAGGGTGCGAGGCGCATGCTCCAGCTGAGCACGCATTATTCATTCCATCTGCATCCTATGCAGCTTGGTAACACCTTGAATTTTGACATCATATAATTTTTCGTATGCAGAAGAGGTTTTCACACTTGACATTTTTGTGAAATTCTGCTTTTGCTAAAGAAGATTGAATCAGTCCCTCCTACTTTCTTGTTCTCTCTCCTGCTCAAGTTTGCAGGGGGTAATACAAAATGCTCGGTTCTTCCTCTCCTGCCAAACTTAGAAGTAACTGAGGAATAAGAACTTTAATCCCCAGGAACATTGAGATTAAATGCCGGCTTTAAAATTGGATAAAGTGATTCTGAGCTGCAGCTAAAAATGGCAGCTCACTGTCCAGCTCTCAGACAGAGCGACTTATGTGGACATGAGGGCACTGCACAACAGTGGGTCCCTCTGTCCTTCAAGGGGTAGAACCTGTCCCATGTAGCCTACCGCACAGTAGCCAGCAGGTCAGGCTGTTCACCCTGCAGGCAGACTGACATGAACAAGAGAGGAAGGACCAGCAGCCAAACTCCCCAACCTGATAATTAACCCCTTCCTGACGAGGGGTAGGCATGGGTGTAGAAAGAAGCACGAGGGGGATTTTAGCTGCCAGCTGGTGAATTGAAGTTAGGGACACAGATGCCCCTAACATCTTCCTCTTTTGATCCCCCATTGTCATACTCATTATTTATTTATTTATTCATTTTCTGTAATGTTTCTTCTACTTGAAAGGCTTTCTGTTAAATTTGTATATCCTAGTTCTATGCATATTAGTTCATAAAACAAAATGTCAATAAGAAAGCATAAAGCATAGAAACATCAGACTATGGCAGAGTACTGACCAAATGTAATAATTATAACAATAAAAATGAATGGTCTAAAGTCCCCATGAACCAAGGAAATTTCAATTTGGGTTCCAAAACATATATAATATGCATACAGGAGATGTTTGAAAACAATGTGTCAACCCCCCCCCCAAACAAAAAACAGTGATTTAAAAAATAAGTTGAGGGAGTTTAATCAAATCTGTACAATCTTAACTCAAATATTATTTCAAATATGCTCCCAGGGAAAATGACCTCCCTCTCCTCTGAATATCTATAGTGTTTTTAAAATTTCTATGATGATACTTCCTGTGTTCTGTCTCACATCAGAGTGTTCTTTGTGCCCTGTTTGTCTGTCTTATTAGATTTCAGTCTTCTTGAGAGCAGAGCTGTGTCTTACTTACCATTGCACATGTACATGCTCATATCACCTAGCACATTTAATTTGTTTATCACCCAGTTCCTTCTTGAGAAAGGTTCTGGTAAAATGCTTTGAAACACAGGGAAGAATAGACATATATAAGAGGATGCATGTGAATTTATGTGTACACGTAGGAGAGAGTGGGCCTTTGTTTGCCTTGCTTGAGTGAGTCTGAATGTGTATACACATGTATATAATTGGATAGATATGTGCTTGAGCAAATAGTTGTGTGTAAATATGTGCATGTGAGAACATGTTTAGGAGGGAATGTTCATTTATTTTGGTGGCTGCGTGTGCATATTTCTGAATATGAGTGTGTGAACGAGTATGAATGGGAATTGGGGGTGCCAGCTGGAGCGTGTATGAGCAAGGGGGTTTGTGAGTGGAACACCGCAGCAGGATGGTTGCACCTACGCATCCCACAGGGTGGGGATGGGACTCCCTGTCTCTGCCCTCACTGTGGGTCTCCACCACCAAAGGTGCGTGTTTTTCTCACCAGGTGAGCAAGGAGCCAAAGGTGATTCAGGTGCACCTGGAGTTGGCCTCCGAGGAGAGATGGGACCTCCTGGAATTCCAGGTACAAATAGTGAACAGAATCTGCAGTCTTAGGGGCAGGGGTGGCCATCTACCACGGGGATGAGAAACACACAGCAGCAGCCCTGCGTGTGGCCCCACAGGACTCGGGAATGGGTGGGGAGAAAGGATTAGGTTTATCTGCCAAAGAGACAGAGATCACTTATTTGTTGTTATTATTTCCAAAATGCCAGCTTCTTGACTTACTAAGGAAACCAGTGTACCCCATGAATTTTCAAAGTATATCTCATGAACTAAAAGTCAGGTAAAATGGTCCTGGGGGGGGGAGAAAATGCCTTGGGGCTAAATAAGTCTGGGCAATGCTGGGGACCATCTCTCCCTTTCTGGCATTCCTAGGGCACATTAACTTATTATAAGTCCTAAGGAGCCTCACATGAAAAATTAATGTTTATGTTATTTAACCCAGAAATTTTCAAACTCATTTGAATGTGAAGACATTTTTCTTTCACTTTGCATTTGTTAATACCATTAGTATTTCTCAGAATATGCTTTGGGGAATGCTGGCCAAGAGGTGAGATGGTCAGCCATCCTGGGGCTCGGGGGGTTCCTGGGACGTGACACTTTTAGTTTCAAAACCAGGACATAACTGAGAAAACTGGAACAGGTTGGTCATCCTTCCTAGTAGGTATATTGAAAGATCTGTAGAATGCAGCAATAATCATGTTCCAAGATGAGGTGTAGATGTAGAAGGTGGAAGAAATTGGGCTGCATAACTACCAAACTCCTCCTCATTGAGGATTCTATTTTTTTCATTTAATTCTAATTTATATTTTTACCTGAGGTAATTTCTAAATATTGAGCATATAGATAATTTAAAGTTTAGTATCGATACCTTCACGATTTTCCAAATTTCCACAGGGAACACGTATTATTATTTTCATTAAAGAAGATTATTAGAAATATGTTTTAAATATTTATTTTTTGCAGCTTGATTACTTTCAGGAAATTTATAATATTACAAATCTTTTAAAATAAGTCAATTTCAAATAAAGATAAAAAGGCAGACCCGAAACCATTCACAAGGGGGCAATGACCGCACCCATGTGAACTTGAGATGACGACCACATTGCAGTGGTTCCCAGCTGAAGGAACGAATAACACTCGAAACTGGACCTAGGCAGGACTAGAGGCTAAATAACTATTACCAAAGCATTAACAGAATTTACAAAATGTCTAAAGATCTTTCTAAGGGAAAATTTTGCTTTTTGCTTATTTTATAGGGGGTTTTCTGGCAAGGCAATTACTAGGATGTAAGAAGGTATATCATTACTAGGGTAAACCACACACTTAGCACTGAGCTTCCCAGTTGCCAAAGCAAAACAAGAGCGAGACAGATTTATTATATACAGTATTATGATGCTTAGTAAGTGGAGGCATAGAAGTTTGCCTGAAGGTAATATTTCCTGGGTCTAAACGTTGGGCTATATAGTGTCAGTTACTTTCATCCTGGATTTTGTCTTTGATTTTGCAGAATAGGTTAACATAGTTCAAGTATGTGGCTCAAATTTAACATGTAGGTAAAGCTGAGAAAATACAGAAAATGTGGGACAAGTTGGATGTTGAATATGGATTGTCACCTGGTGTCTCTAAAGATATGTGAATTGGGGCTGACAGGTAATAATCAGGACTTGGTGTCCCACTCTCAATTCAGACACATTTCCTATAACCACATAAGAACACAGAAGGCCTGGTTTCTCTTCTGACTCTTAAGTGGAGACCATATTTCCTATCTGGCCTGGACCCACCCTTGCTTATGTCTTCTCCAGAGGTACCTGGATTACTGTCCTGGTTCAACTGAGGCAACCCCTTCTGCATGTTGAGGTGCTTCTGCTTCCTGGTGTCCAGGTGGACTGTTCTACTCACTCAGGGTAGAGCTCCAGGCTGTGGTTGTGTTCTCTGCAGATGTTTCAAGTCCTGAGTTCATACTGAACAGAGTAGTGAAGGCAGGACCCATTTGCTCCCAGAGGGAACCTGAATCCCTTTTTGTTTCTTTTTCTCCTTGTGCCAGGTCAACCCGGGGAACCTGGTTATGCAAAAGATGGACTCCCTGGGACCCCTGGCCCTCAAGGAGAGACAGGACCAGCTGGACATCCTGGCCCCCCAGGCCCACCTGGCCCCCCTGGCCAGTGTGACCCCTCCCAGTGTGCCTACTTTGCCAGCCTTGCTGCCCGACCGGGTAATGTGAAGGGCCCCTAGAAGATTCTGGAAAGCCAGAAGACTGCAGTGGATTTCTGAAACTTGAACTCAGAGCCTGATGGGACACCCGAGGTCTTGAAATATTTCAGTGACATGTTTTTTTTTCTTTCTTTTATTATTTGTTTTTGTTTTATTTCCTTAAGAGACCTCAAGATTATTAAAACCAACAGATGCTGCCGGTCGGTCAGATTATTATTAATATTATTATTATTGTTAATTATTATTATTATTTCATATGCTAATGCTTTTTGAGGTTTTTCCCTCTCTAAAGTTGGGGAAACTTGATTTGTGGGGCAGAAGATTGTTCTCAGTTCTTCTGACAGCCCCCACCTGACGTGTAACTGCCGATTTTAACACATGGTGCTATGAAACCCTGACCGGACACTTGCCAAATTTACCTCTTTTCTCAAAAGGAAACCTTAAGAAAATGAGCCAATGAGCTTCTACTCCCAGTTGTGCCCAGAGGTTTCCCAGAGAGAAATAATCCCCAAATCACTACTTCCCAGGAGAGAGAAATGAAGCAGGAAGATAATTTGCAGACAGGAATAACGTTCTTGCCTCCTGATGGAAACTGCACCCAGAGATCACAGAAGCACCCCAGGGAGCACCCTGACCTCCTTAGTGTTTCAAGCTTTTAGAAGCAAAATAATGTCACATGGGCTGACATGGTTTTATGGCAATCCTGTGTCTATGCCAAAGATGGGGAAATGAGTTTAAGTAACAGCTCCGAGTGTTAATTTGGCTCTAAGCCTTGGATAAAACTCCTTCAAGTGCCTTCTGTTGGTTTCAGTCATGTTAATTGTAAAATTAAAGGGTCTGGTGACCATTCACTTGTGTTTCCCTAATGGTGGACAGTTGGCCAGGATGCTGACCAGAGCTGGGAAATCTGTCTCCAAGGTTCTCTCTCTGAAATAAATCTCATGAGTGCGTATGTGTATGTGACATGCCTTGATCAAACAGGTGCTCAATAAATCCGAGTTTTCTACTCACTTCCTCTTAATTCATTTCTTATGACCTGCTCCTACTTGAATGTGAGCTTCTCAAGGGAACCTAGCACAGGGTTCACATGTCGAGTCCACACATCAAATGAACGAAGTGAATGCATGTGCCTGGCTGAGCTAGTCCGGGGCCACTCCTTTTCATGCCCTTTACTGAAGCAGTCTTCATATTTTCATTATGGAAGAAGCCACGCAGAGGGGCACCTTTATGCAGGATCACAGCAGGCAGCAAGCTGGCAAGCTGGTTTCAGTAGGTCTCATCCCACCAAACAGTACTTCTAGGGGATGGGTGATTTACCAGTGGCCTAAAAGATTTACTCTTTCTACATTTGTTCTCCTATTGACTGATTGATCATTCGACCGATTGATTGGTTGGTTGGTTTATCCATCCATCCGTGCATTTGCCCATTCACCCATGCCACCAGCCACTCACAGATCAATGCAGTGTATGCTTATCGAGCATCTCCTTTGTGTCATTCTTCGACTAGACACGACTAATTGATGTAGGAACCAGGAGTAGAAACATCCAAAAAAGTTTGAAGGTTCCAGAGTAGAGAATTCTTATTGTAATGACTTAAAAATAAGATCTGAGACCTGTTCCTCTTGTTCAGTTGGTGGGAGCTGATTCCGGGAGTGGATGGGGCCCCGGGATCCAAGGACGCAGCACCTGTCAGTGCAGAATGTGATGACCTTCTGAGCCTTTCACATGTGCTATCGCAGGTGGTTCTCACAATGATTTCAGAATCAAGGGCTATATTATTACGCCCTTTTTCATTCAAGGGAACAATCTCAGAGACCTCAGAAATACTCTAATCCAGTGACTTCTAAAAGTTGTTGGCTGTGATTCACACAGCAAGGGGCACCGTTTCTATTGTGATTCAGTACATGCATACATATATAAAGCAAGAGATTTGTAGCCTTCTAACATCTACTATTCTATTTCATTTTTTTCTATCATTGTTTAAAGAGGCTATTTTTAAAAGCAGTTTAGTTTCACAGCAAAATTAAGAATGTACAGAGATTGCCGATACACCCCCAACATCCCCCACCATAGTGGTACATTTGTCACAACTCATGAATCTACACTGACACAACGTTGTCAACCAACATCTATAGTTTACATTAGGGTCCACTTTGGGTGTTGTCATTCTGTGGGTTTGAACTAATATGTAACACCATGTACCCACCATTGCGGTGTCATATAGAGTAGTTTCACTGCCCCCTGGCAACCACAGATGTTTTTACTGTCCTCTAGTTTTTCAACTCTTTCAAAATCATAAAGTCATAAAGTTGGAATCACATGGTATGTATCCTTTTCGGATCATTATTTTTTCACTTAGTAACATGCATTTAAGGTTCCTCGATGTCTTTCCATGGCTTGATAGCTCATTTCTTTCTAGCACTGAGTAGTATCCATTGTCTGGATGTACCACAGTTTATTCATCTACTAAAGTACATCTTGGTTGCTTCTGAGTTTTGGCAATTATGAATAAAGCTGCTTCTAAACACTTATTTGCGAGTTTTTGTGTGAATGTAATTTTTCACCCCCTGTGGGTAAACACCAAAGAGCACAATGACTGGATCATACAATAAGAGCATATTTAGTTTTGTGAGAAACGACCACACTGTCTTTCAAAATAGCTTAATAATTTTGCATTCCCACCAGCAATGATTGAGAAGTGGTGTTGCTCTGCATCCTGGCCAGCATTTTGTGTTGTTAGTGTTTTGAATTTTGGTCATTTTTATAGGTTGTGTAGAATAACCCCATTGTTTTAATTAACAATTTCCTAACATTTGATATTAAGCATCTTTCCATTTGTTTATTTTCCATTTGTGTGTCTTCTTTGGTGTGGTATATATTCAGACATTTTGCCCATTTTTAAAAATTGCATTATCTGTTTTTTTTTAATTGTTAAGTTTCAAGAGTTCTTTGTATATTTTAGATACTTTTTAAAAAAAATTTATTTTATGAGAAGCCTGGCAGTCTCAGGGCTGGGGGGATTTCCAAGTGCTGCTGCCTGACAAGGTGTTCACTATCAGAGCTCAGTGGAGCCAGGGCCCAGTGGGGTGAGCCCAGCAGAAAACCAAACCAAATGTGTCACTGTTTTAGTCCATTTTGTGTTGCTATAAAAGAATTACCCGGGACTGGGTAATTTATAAAGAACATTAATCATATAATTATGATTCTGGGGCCAGCTGCATCTGGCACGGGCCTCAGGCTGCTTCTACTCATGGCAGAAAGTGGTAGGGAGCTGGCAGGTACAAGCAGATCACATGGTGATGGGAAGCA